CCCGAGGGTGAGCTACAGAATATTGTCCTTACCCAAACATAGGGGGGGTGCGGGAGCTCCAGACATACGCAATTACCATGCGGCATCTCTTCTACTCCGCATTTCGGACTGGTTCCACAGGGCCAATGACAAACAGTGGGTCAAGATTGAGGGAGTGATTGCCGCGTCAGACCTAACTGCAATCCCCTGGATTCCCCCGGCTTCTCGTACTATGCCATCGCCACCGCCTATTCTGACTCTCCACGCACTGCGCCTGTGGGATCGGTGGGTATCCCGTTGTGGAATTTCCTCCTATACTGGACCCATGACCCCACTTTTTAACAATCCAGCCTTTCCTCCTGCTCTTCATAGAAGCTCGTTTGGCCGGTGGACTAGGGAATCTCACAGACGACTGGTGGTGGCCATGAGAGAACACACGTCAGATCCACCCGTCGGCAATATGTGGTTGACCGATAGGCAATTCCACTCCTTTGTGGCCTCCTTCCCTCAGCCGGAAGCTCTGGAGGCGGAGCCTACGGCTTTCGACTCTATTCTTCTACAATCCTCCCCCCCTACACACACCATCTCGATACTTTACTCTCTCCTCTCAGCTCTCTCCTCTTCGGAGCGTCCGAGTTATGTCCGGAGGTGGGAGAGTGAACTTGACCCTCCCCATTAGCGAGGAGGAGTGGGGGAGATCTTTTGTTCTCTCACACTCCCTCTCCGTCGCAAGTAAAGCCCAGGAGAAAAACCTAAAAATTCTAACTAGATGGTATAGATGCCCTGCGGTGTTACACAGCTACTATCCTCAGGTTCCAGACTCATGCTGGCGTTGCCAAGCCTCACCCGGGGATATGACCCACATCTGGTGGAGCTGCCCTCCGATAAAGGCGTTCTGGCAACAGGTGCTGGACATCTACCACAGAGTGACAGGTTCCGAGACCGCTAATGACCCCAAGGTTACGCTGTTGAGTATGATACCAGGCCCACTCACTGATTAGACGGAATAGAAGGTGTAGGTTTTACCCCGAATATACCATTGCCATATAACACGCTGTCTATCATGTAATCCTATGCAAATTCATGATGTTACGGGCTAATTATCCGCCTTGGATACTAGGCTCTGTGTATGTATATATGTCTGTTTGTAAAAACCTTTAATAAACACTTATTGGATTAAAAAAAAACTCAAAAAAAAAGGACAGGATTTCCAAGAAAGTGCTGAGTACGTGAAGTGCCACGGTTCATTAGGGCAAACATGAAAGTGACAAACCAGTAATAAGACTGACTTACAAGGGGACAGAAATGAAAAGGATTTGTTCAGAGGTAAGGGAAACATGAAGCGCAAAGTATAAAGTGTGTCTATGTAGTCAGCCAAAAGGTTTGTAAGGGTTGGTGGAGAGTTTCCAAACATAGTCCAAATATAAATCGAGGTATGGGGAGTAAGCATTTTTTAAACTGCTGTATGAAAATGTTCCCAGGCAGAAAATTAAAAATGAAGGGCTTGGTCCGTTAGAAGTATAGTCTTAACTATTATGGAACAGCAAGCCAATTAAACTCGAGAGGGAAAATCCCATAAAGTAAAAGCCAGGTAAGAAGTTAAGAATACTCCTTTATTTGGAGACCAGTGAAAGGCTAGCAATTGCAGGCAATAAAGTGCTTAGGAACTGTAGGAAGCTGGAGCGGTTTCAAGACAAGAGGGTACTGCTTGGAATGGGCGTTTTGGCATCTGGGTAGAATGATGGGACAAGGCCACCGTGGGAGTTGGAAGCCAAGTTCCTGAAAACACTTCCGAAGATCTGAAAGTGAGGATGCTTGTTGAAGACCCGGCGGTGTTTGATGTTACTTGCCTATAAAATCTGAATAAAGCGCTGCAGACTGACTTTTTTTTTAAAATTTGTGGTTTTCGATGGAAAGCATCGGCGTGGCCGAATTACACCATCTTCCAGATTGTCGGCAAGAGTTTCAAGCTCACCGCTGAGGTATTTTCTTTTTTGTGACTTTCAAGGACCGTCCTCGCATCATCCATACGGTGTTCGAGGGAGTGCGACCAATACTTTTATTTTCACGAGCAAGCCCGCCAAAAGCTTTTGGGAAGCTATCAGTCTTTTCAGTTACTATGGAGTGGAATCTAGTGAGTAGGACTTGTCCACAGGGTCCCCTGGAGTGGTCAGGCTAGAAGGATATTGGCAGAGACTGCCATCCAGAGATGCTGAATCGCCTGTGGAGAGCCACGTGGTTTCGTCTGCGCCAGACCCAGCCGCTGCAATCTTGGAAGATTAAGCCCCCGGGGTTTTTGGTCCAGTTTTCTGCCTTTGTTTTATTGTTGATTGCCCAAGCATAACCAGGATGCAGAGGGTGGTATTCTTGGCATGGTAGGAGTATGGAGACCATGTTGTAGGTTTCAGAGCCTGTAGCGGGGGAGGAAAGCCCAGGTGGCATAGAGCCAATCCTTCATGCAGCCATAATGGATCGCTGCCCGAATGCGCCCCACCTTTCATATTCCTTTTGAAAACTGTGTAGATAATACATGTAATAATATGTATGTGGTATTAGAATTTTTTATTGTCCCCCCACATTTATATGCGGGCTAAGGAACAAACTTGACAGTGATGGCGCTTAGGATGAACTAGATCACTGCCAGGGGCTCTTATAGTAGTCATGTTTTATTCATATATGGTTTAAAACAAAATTGAAGAAAAACTGTTGCAACTACTCAAGCACCCCGGGCAAAGAAAAGATCTGCATAAAAAATTGTTACCAAGCACTATTAGTATAGATTGTATTTCTATATGCGTTATATGGAAATATAAACTGGTAGACTTTTGTCGGGAAAAAAATATCTGTTTCCAGACTTAGTTCAATTCTCTAATAGTTAATTGGGTGAAATTGACCATTCTTTACCACAATGATGAAAAAAATTGATCAGGATGGAAATGATGCAAATGTTAAAATCAATGAAATTTCGAATGTCTGTTCAGATATTTGCATAAACATTCATACAAAAATCTACCAGTGTATGGCCAGCTGTAATGGTTCTTCATAATAACAACGCATCCCTTGCAAGCCTTTTATTACATTGAATATTGAAGTGATATTGAAGTCAAGTGTTTTAAGTTCTTTCAAATGCTAATTAAATCACTTACAATGGATGTTGCTCCTTGATAAGTGTTTCCTGCTAAATCAGCTGGTCTCCTGAACACTGGTCCTGATATATTTTAGGGTGGCTCTTTTTCCTGACGAGGTCCTATGGGGCCCCCCTTGTGTGCTAGTAAGCTGTGTCTGTCTCCACAAACACACAGGCAAAGTAAGGCAAGCCTTTCTCCTGCTTCTGTCTCTCTACTCCTTCCGTCTCCCCACTCCTTCCTCTCTCTTCTCCAAGCTAGTAAGATGTTAGAGACTACTGGAGACTGCTCTGCCTTGTGATCTTGTACTGGTCAAGAAGTTTAGGGAAGTTGAGCTGACAGAGTTGAAGCTGTTTGAACACTTGACTGTAAATGCTTGGGCAAAAATGTAAAGAAATACTTTGCTGAACAATATATTTAATTTGGGTTAATTATTGAAAAAAGTTTTGAGTTTAATAAACGTTAACTGTACAATACCAGATGATCCTTCCAGCAGCCTGTTCTAACCATATACGCATGACGGCTAGGGTTGCCACCCGTACGGTTTTTGCCCGAACAGTACGGTTTTGTAAACCTGTGCACGGGTGGGAGCCCACCTCCTACCCTGGCACAGTATTCAAACCGGAGCTGTGGCTCCCTAAGAAGCTGCATACCGCTGGCCGTCTGTATTGTGATGGCCGCAGTGCTCATCTGCCTGTCTCCTCCTCCTGTGGCATTATCTCCTCCCAGCTCTGACATCACATCCTGCAGGTACCGAGGGAGGACAAACAGAGACCGAGAGCGCAGGCACAGGCAAGTTTTACAGTTCATGAATGCAGGGGGCTGGGACAGACAGTGGGTACTGGGACAGACAGTGGGTACTGGGACAAATGTGTATTGCATTTACATTACATGTCACTGAACAGTGTTGAGTGATATGCTGTGTGATTGCAATACACATTTTACTAATATATTTATGTACTTGTACTACCTGATAAATCATACAATGAGATTTAAATGAAAAGTCTTATTGTCACAGCCCACCTGAGAGCCGCATAGCCCACCCAAGAGTGCACACAGCCCACCTGAGAGCCGCATAGCCCACCCAAGAGTGCACACAGCCCACCTGAGAGCCACACAGCCCACCTGAGAGCCGCATAGCCCACCCAAGAGTGCACACAGCCCACCTGAGAGCCGCACAGGCGTCAACCCAGAACACAAAATATATAGCTTCATATTATTGTGTATTGCTGTAGTCCTTACTCCGTATCCTGGCTGCCTCTCCTCACTATTCTCCCCCCCCCCAAAAAAAATTGCTGCGCGTGGCGCTAGAGTGTTCGGGTTTCACTTGAAGAAAAGGTGGCAATCCTAATGACAGCGAATAATAGAGTACTTCCTGGTTAATCTGTTGTCTTTATCTGTGTTCTCCCTGAATCAGTGTACAGGATGCTTTACCGACAGTCCTGTACACTACTCTAGTCGAGCTCTGTAATCACAGGCAGCCATGCGCCCCAACCTGCCCCACATGTTGTTTGACAGCAGCTAATGTAGCTACAGAGTGTCCTTTTCAATCTCCTCTGTTCCCTGCTCTCTTGGCATTCTTGAAAGAAGTGGGGATGGCGCTCATGTGACTGCCGATTATAAACTTAGACAAAGGTGTGTTTTTGTTTGTTCTTTTTTTTTCTTCTGGATTTATTTCATAACTCATGTTTAAGGCAGCAGGATTATAATGTTTTTGTTATGGAGTTTAACTTTTCAGATACTTTAGACCCCAGAATACAAATTTAATATATTGCAGCTTACCGTTCTTAGACGTAGTGGCTGCATTAGTTTTCTATTTCAGGCTCTTTTTTTTTTTTTTACCTGGTGATCCTGCCAATAACACACTTACAGTCCTAGGGGAGCAACATTTACTTACTGTACTGCATCTATTGAAGAGCAGAGTTGTCGCCCTAGGCTGCTCTTCTGAGTTGAGACTACAAATACCCATCCTCTCCCATCTCCGTACAAAGAGGGGTGCTGCTTTGTGGTTCACAGACAATGGCTAAAGCTGATGAGAGGAAGTGACCAGGACACAAATTAATTCTGTCCTTGTAGAAAATGTATTTCACGTGAAAAAAGGAAAATGAATGCAGCCGTCGCACCTTTTGAACTAGTAAGCTTAGATAGAATACATTTTTATTCTTTGGTTTAGATGTACTTTTAAGTAGGGAAGCACAGATACCATTTTTTCAGTGTAAGCGTAACTATATCTTTCGGTACTCGCCGATACCGGTAGTTCCGCTAGCATGGAGCCGGCTTCCCGGTCAATCGGGAAGCCGAGTGGCGTGTCATTCATTACCCACCGCCCAGCTCCTTGATTGCCCAGGAAGCCGCCTCCATGTTCCCTCGTGGCACTGCCGGTCACGAAATCTCCCTCTGAATGGAAGTTCTGGTATCGGAGCATTTGGGCGAGTACAACTACTCGCCCATCACCGATACCAATACCAGTATCGGTGCATCCCTACTTTTAGGAATTTAGGAATGCTGAACAACTCAAGTCAGTACAAAGATTGCATGTCAATGCACTGCAATGAATGTCTTTTTAATTGTGAGAATTCCTTTGTGGAAGTTTTTTTTTTTTTTTCTTAGCCAGTACCAAAACTTGGCATCAGTGGGCCTTATATTTTAAAGTTAATGAGGGTAGTTTATTAATGAGGGTAGTTTATCAAAACTGGAACAGACACAAGCTAATTGGTTGCCATGGACAACTGCTCTAGAGTCTTTCTCAAAGCTTCTATTTCGCATTCTCAAAGCTTAACTGAACAAACTGAAGAGAGACAGGGACTTGTTACTATGGGCAACTGCTCTAGATTCTGTCTGCTCCAGTTTTGATAAATTTACATGCAGATCTCGGTCTGTAAAGTGTTTTTTTTTTTTTGTTTTTTTGCTATCGCCTAATTCATCAGTACACACGTTTTGTCCTGTACAAGTCCAGTTGACCGGGGCTACTACTAGCTATATAATAACCTGGATAAAGGAGACTATTCACAGAAATAACATGTTAAAATTTAAGATTGTAGTGGTTGGTTGGGTCTACATATACAGTAAACCTTTTTTTTATGGGGGGGGGG